GCCCTGAGCGCGGCGCGGAGCCGCGGCGTTAGCGCGGCCGCGCGGGAGAAGCCTTAGCTGAGGTGAGCTCAGGGAAAGCTCTTCAAGCCTGGCTCTCCAAATGGCGTCTCCCTGGCAGCCTCCCCTGCAGTGAGTACGCAGCCGCTTGCTGCGGCGCCGCGCCCCGGCCCTCGCCCTGTCCGGAGGGTGGTGCCGCTGGATGGTCTCGCTCGGTTAAACCTCGCCAGGTGTCTTTCCTTCATCCATCCTGATCGACATCAGGCGCTTCTGCGGTTTGCAGGTGTTGATAACTCATTGCTTGCTTCCTCTCTTTTTTTAACAACAGTTTTAAACGACGCAGGTTTTAGTGGTGGTGCGTATGTCTTGCCATGATGAAGAGAGACGGGTTTTTTTCCCCATTTGCCTTTACCAAGTCCTACTACATAAATGTATCTTTTTGTCTGTACCATCCTTTACTACAGGCTTTTTTGGTTTTTTTTCAGTAAGTTTGTTTTCAAAGTTCAAAGCAGCGTTTTCTGGTTCCTTGCCGTCCAAGTACAGCAGACAACGAACTGCAGAGACGGAGGAGAAAATGTTGAAGTTAAACAGAGGGTAAAGGAAGTTTATAGATGGAGTGAAAGTGGAAAAAAACAATAAATTGAAATCAGAGTTATGGGGTTTTTAAAAAAGGGAAGAAATGTTTGCAATGACAGGTGGGAAGGACAGAAGTAAATAAATAGGAGTTCTGGTATGACGACCTAGGAGATGGGGACAGGGAGAAAGGGAAAGAAAAATCGGCATAGGGGGTAGGAGAAGAAAAAGCAATGTGAAGAGCGAGAAGGTCAGTGACGAGGGAGAAGAAGTGTGAGCTCCTGGAGGAGCGGTAATGGTAATTCACATTAACAAAAAGACGTGGGAAGTTACTGAGATACAGAGGCGAGGGGAGGGCTTGGAAATCTTCAGAGGAAAAAGCAAAAGTGTGCGTGGATTTTTTTTCGTGCCACTGGCAAGTCCCAGTTGAACCATGTTTGGATTCTGTCATCTCTCTTCTCATGAATGCTGCCAGCCTGTCTTTCAAACGTGTATGTAAGGTTGCACATTTGACAGTAGGAGTCATGTTGCCTTGTCACAGAAGGGAAAGATGGAGGTATTTACTAGTTTTTAAATCATTTCTTAGTCTGTAATCCTTCGAATGCGCTGTGAATAGGAACAGTGAGAGCTTTCAGAACTTGTGAATCATCTCAGGCCAAGACACCCCGAGATCAGATATTCAAGGCAGGTGCTGGAGAGGTGGCTTTTTTAGTGCTTTGTCAAGGTTATCACATGAAGAGCGTCACCCCAGTTTTTCTTCAGCAAAGCCAAGGAGTAGCGTTTCTGCGAGGCGGCTCTGGGGAGCTCAGCATGGCCAGCCAGGGAGCTCGGCTGAGGTGGTGTGTGGGTACTGCCGTCCTCCCCGTGTGCGATTGCCCCTAGGGCAGTTACGAGTTCCGCCATTTCACACCAAGATCCATGCCTCCGGGGCCTGGTCTCTTGCAGCGGCCGAAGGGGGAGTGCCAAGGGAAGGGGTGTTCCCTGGGACCTCTCGCAGCAGGCGCTGCGTGCTGTTCCGGTGCCCCCAGCCCCGGGCTTGGCCCGTGCTTCGTGCCTGTCCTCTCGGCAGGGCGAGGAGAGCCGGTGTGGCACCTGACCCGGGGGACCGCGTGGAGGAGGCCATGAAGGGGCCGCAGCCCGCCGCCCCGGGGTGGCCTGGCAGCTCTACCTGCCACCGGCAGCGAGGTGAGGCGGCCCGGGGTCCTCGCGGGGAGGTGGCGCTTGGGAGTAGGAAAACCCCGGCGAGAAGGAGGTGGACCGGGCGCGGCGTTAGTCCGCGGTAGGTGTGAGGCCGGGCGGGAGGAGAGGGAGGGGAGCCCCGGGGGCGGCGCGGCCGAGGCGGGAGGGGGGGCGTCCTCC